TCAAAATTCTGGTGACAGAAAATTATTAGAAAAAACCTTAAAGAAATCTCGTCTTAGTTTCAAATTGAAACAATTCAACTACTACAAATCCGAAACAAAAATTCTGCTCTCATTTAAATTTGAACATGATTTCAAGAAATCATCTAATTCAAGTGTGAACACAAGAAGATACTTGTATAACGTGGTTCATACTCAAGGGTTACGTCCACGGTTGAAATAGGCGAGACAGTTTAGTCACAACTTAATACAACTCATATTGAGTAGAAGTTTTGGGATATATATACCCAACGCTAGCGATACACCTAGCTATAAATAGCAATAACTTGATATTACTTCTTAACCGGAGTTAACCTCGGTAATATCAATTTGCACAAGAAATATATTGAACAGTATTACATAGAAATTTGATAATCAGAACCTAAGGATGAACTGGATTGAATAGTCTTACACAAAAATTTGATAATAAAAGTTTATTGATAAATTTAATTGATAACTTTTATTTATAAATTTGTTTGAATTTGAATGTATAGCAATTAGATAGTACATCTAAATTGGTTTTAACTGACTTATTGATCATTATATATTATTATCTTGGATTTCATTTGATATATTATATAAATCTCAAATTATATATTATGATCTTGATTTTTTGAATTTCATTTGATAATTTATTTATTTTTCAAATTACATATCATAATCTTAATTCTTTGAATTTCATTTGATATTTTATTTATTTTTCAAATTACATATCATAATTTTAATTCTTTGAATTTCATTTGATATTTTATTTATTTTTCAAATTAAATATTATGATCTTGATTCTTTGAATTTTTTTGATATTTTATTTATTTTTAAAATTATATATTATGATCTTGATTCTTTGAATTTTTTTGATATTTTATTTATTTTTCAAATTAAATATTATGATCTTGATTCTTTGAATTTTTTTGATATTTTATTTATTTTTCAAATTAAATATTATGATCTTGATTCTTTGAATTTTATTTGATATTTTATTTATTTTTCAAATTAAATATTATGATCTTGATTCTTTGAATTTTTTTGATATTTTATTTATTTTTCAAATTAAATATTATGATCTTGATTCTTTGAATTTTATTTGATATTTTATTTATTTTTCAAATTAAATATTATGATCTTGATTCTTTGAATTTTATTTGATATTTTATTTATTTTTCAAATTAAATATTATGATGTTGATTCTTAGAATTTTTTTGATATTTTATTTATTTTTCAAATTAAATATTATGATCTTGATTCTTTGAATTTTATTTGATATTTTATTTATTTTCAAATTAAATATTATGATCTTGATTCTTTGAATTTTATTTGATATGTTATTTATTTTCAAATTATATATTATAATCTTGATTCTTTGAATTTTATTTGATATGTTATTTATTTTCAAATTATATATTATAATCTTGATTCTTTGAATTTTATTTGATATTTTATTTATTTTCAAATTATATATTATAATCTTGATTGTTTGAATTTCATTTGATATACTTATTTATTTTTCAAATTATATATAATGATCTTGATTTTTTGAATTTCATTTGATATGTTATTTATTTTCAAATGATATATTATAATCTTGATTCTTTGAATTTCATTTGATATTTTATTTATTTATCAATTTATATTATGCATTGCATACTAGAGTAAATCATAATAACGTAATTATTACAGTGTATTTATCTGATAAAGATGAAGTTTAATTGTTTTCAAAATCACTTTGACAATCTATGAGTCTAATGTCTCCATCTTGAAAACATCAAGATAATTAATATCACCAGAATGTACACGCTCTACATAAATCGTCTAAACATCATTGATAGTCATATTTTTTTCTTAAACGTAAAACCAAAAATCACTCAAGCCAAGCACAAACACAAGAGACATTCATATAACGTGATTCATCCTCGGCAGCTATGTCTACTGATGAAGCGCAAGAGAAGATTTTTTGACAACTGAATACGTCAAGAGCTTTCTAATGATACTCAATTTTTCTATATTCCGACAGAGAGTATTTGGAACTAAATATGCACAAACGGAATATTTCACTGATGTTACAGAATTTTTGCAAATCAAAATCTTCAGGACAAAAAATGGTCTGACTTGAACTACTCACATATGCGCGAATTCCGCCTGCGACCATCGTCACCTTTGATTCAACGTCCCTCATCCACAACTCTTGTTGCTCGTGACCACCGTCGCCCGTAATTTAAATATCCGTACTCCGCAATTCTAAAGCCTGTCGTTGAGACTTATAAATGCTCAACGTGAATTAGAGAAAATACTTCAGAACTTATAAATTGCACTACATCAGAAGGCTTAGTTGCTGAATAGAAAACTCAACACGCGCAAGAACAAAAACCTTCCCAAATATCTCAACACTGAAGACGTTTGAGTCTCTGCAAGATAGAACATAAAATTCGTAAATTTGAAGAATTGAAACGTTCCTTGTCTTTAGCACAAAACGTTTCAAAAAAATTTGTGTCTTGTATTGTATCACTGCACATCGAATGATGTGCAGTAGGACCATACAAGACATGCACAAACTTACGGTAGCGAGGAGGGGCCGAACTGCGGAGTAAGAGAGGGAAAAATAACACGCTGGAGGGTTGGAGTCCACACTCCTGCCTCGGAGGTGGACCTAAATCCTAAACTTCTTCACTGTTGTAGGCACTCCGCTTGAAAATGAAAACACCTAATCTACTCTCGGATGAACTCTTGTGCTACCACCGACCTCGATTTCTCCTCAACCACGACTTGTCTTCTCAAAGACCTAGATTGCATAAGCGAGCAACTTTCAAATTTTTTCACCACCCGAGCAATTCCAACTCTACTACTATTACTGCAGAACCAGAACTTCAGAGCAACTTGTTGCTTTGTTTGTCACAACAAGTGTCAAAGTACTTTGTTACTCAACCACAAACAGAGAATGAACAATTTGAAAAGAAATTGATAATTTTGAAACGGAAAAAATTATCTATAAAGTTCAAAAAAACTCTAGATTCTTAGATTACACAACTGTCGATTAAGAAAACTAACAAACTGTCAACAGTGTTTTGAAAATAAAAAAACAATAAAATTTCTTCTGTGGAAAAAAGCTTTCAAAAAGATAAAACAAAATTTTTTATGAACATGGAAAAAACATTCAACCAAAACCGAAAAAAAAACTTCCGACATGATTCAAATAAAAAAAAATTAAAAAAAAAAACTTATTCCATGAAGAAAACTTTTAGAAAGGTAAAACAAAATATTTTTCTCTACGTGGACAAACACTTAATCAAAACATGTATACAACTCCGAATCGTAATTAAACTCTTATACTAATTTTTAAACGTAAAACCAAGTGTCACTCAAAGCAAGCACAAACATAGAAGATACTAATATAACATTGTTCACTCGTGGGGATTACGTCCACGGTTGAAGCTCACAATAAGATTTATTAAATACTTAATACTCTCATCGAATAGAAGATTTGGGAGTACATTTATACTTAAAGCTAACAACACACATAACTATAAATAGTTTTAACATAAGTTTATTCCTTAACCATACTTAAACTCAACATATTTTATATGGTCACTATTAAATAATTCAATTTTAATCGGATCAACTAAACACATTAAAAGTTGAGAATTTTCATTAACACACATTTGGAATAATCTTTACTTTGACAAATTTCAAAAATTTGTTATTGCATGTTGATTTTAAGTGAAAATTTTAGTATTACAATATATTAACAACATAATTTAAACAATTTCATTAAATAATGAATTTCATCTATCACAATTCATGTAATCTATTCCTAGTCATGATAAAATATAATTTGGAGCAATTAGCCAAAAAATTAAAATCGTGATGCATACTTTGACATTGATAATCTGAAATTCAAATCACGTTCTTTGTTTACCTTTGACTTTATTTTTTATTCTTTGAAACTTTTTGCAATTATCAAAATTGCGAATGATTTATTTTATCAATAAATTTTGTTTTTCTAAATTTTTTATTATCAAAAAATTATATTTGTTTTATTTTAGAACTATTAAATTTCTAAAAAATCATGTTAATGAATAGGTTATTGATTAATTTCAAATATTTGAACTCTTGTTAAGACAAAAAAATTTTAAATTTTAAATTCTATTTGAAATGAATAAATTTCAAAATTTAAATCTCTGATTCAGGCAAACAAAATTTTATTACATTGAATTTTCTTAACACATATTAATTACAATACATCCACTAGTATATTGTAATTACACTAAATTATATTTAAATTTAAAATTCATATTGAAACATATGTATCTATGTATTGAAGAATAATTTTGAAATTTTATTTAAAATTAATATTTATGATTCTTAATTGATCATTTGTGTTACATAATTAAATTGATTAAATTTATATTATAACATATCATTAAATATTATTTATTGAAATTAAAAATATGTTCAATATTTCATATATAAATATTACAATGATACGATATTATAACAAGAAAAGAAATATTCATACATGAATGAAAAATATTATAATTTATTTTCGTGAAATACAATTTACCACCACATATGATAAATTCGAAATGAATGCAATTCGCCCCAACACGAAACCCAATGTCATGCAAAAACTATACAAGATTGTCCGTGCATTACTGTTTACACGTACCGATGAGGATCATCGACCTCGAACGGTCGATCTCTTCCGTCGAGCGGTGGTGGGCCCAACCCCGAGGACACTCGGGATTCGCTATCACCAGGCTGGCAACGGCACTCACGCCCTTTTCAGAGGGGTCGTCTCCTACAGCGAAGCCTCACGTACCACCACCTTGAGGAACACAGCTCCCTCTAACTTGCAGTCCTCACCACAAACAGGGTGCCGGATAGCGGCCTCTAAGACCGATAGCTGGACTCGTAACTCTATAGGCTGGCTGGCTGGCTCCCGTGACACGGAACAGGACGAGAGTGCGTTCATCTTCCCGTTGGAGGAGGAGGGAGCGAGTGGAGTCAGCTGTCGAGGCTGGCGCCAGGGGAGGCCGTTGGGGCCATTAGAGAGCGAGCGATTTGAACCGAGTTGGGAGAGAGAGAGAGTGCGAGGCTTCGTCGTCGTCGTCGTCCGCGCCAGTCGAAGCTGAGGATCTCGCCTTTCTCTTTTTGGGGGCGGGAGGAGTGCGCGATCTGCAAATCTCGTCTCGTCGGTAGGGCGATTGGAGAGCTGGAGAAGTAGGTGCCTGCGGTTGGGTCGCTAGAGAATGTAGGTTGGGTTTGCAGGGAAGACATCGTCTCACGTTGGTGGAGGTTTTTTAAGAGGAGAAGGTCACGAGTTCAGAGAATTGTGGTTGTGTGATCGGTTGAAGAGAGAAAATCCAGGTGCAGTCAATCGGTGACAGACAAGATGAGTGTTATAGATATCTTGACTCGCGTGGATGCTCTGTGCAAGAAATATGATAAGTATGACTTGGATAAGCAAAAGGGGGATCTGACGAACACCAATGGCGATCAGTTTTTGAAGCTGTACACCGTCATCGAAGCGGACATCCAAGCCGCACTGGAGGTTTTCCTCACTTGCCATTTTCTTCATGATTCTCTCTCTCTCTCTCTCTCTCTCTCTCTCTCTCTCTCTCTCTCTCTCTCTCTCTCTCTCTCTCTCTCTCTCTCTCTCTCTCTCTCTCTCTCTCTCTCTCTCTCTCTCTCTCTCTCTCTCTCTCTCTCTCTCTCTCTCTCTCTCTCTCTCTCTCGATTGCAAGCTCAAAACCGCCGCACATTTTCTGATGTATACAGCTCTGATCACCGGGGATCTGGAACCTTCTGCAACTAGAACACAGTCGTGGTTCCTGGTTTACATAAGAACGCATTATGCTGGTGTTAATCTCTCCTTGTTCCCTTTCTTCCGCCACTCGAGCAGAATTTAGAACAATGTGGTTCAACTTACCTAGCGGTAGGTTCTGAGAGACGGAAGTTTATGTTGTGATACCACCTTAAAGAAAATCCCGCGTGCTCTCTGGTTATATGCCTAATGTTTGTGTCATTTTGGATGTAGAAATCGAATGAGGCACTTGGTGAGAAGAACAGAGCAGTGGCCGTGACACTCAATGCCGAAGTGCGCCGTCAAAAGGCAGCCTTACAAAAGGAGCTACCGAAACTACAGAGACTGGCTGTGAAAAAGGTCTGTTGGACTATCTATTCCTCCGTACAGTGTGTTGTCATACAGTATGCAGCCGTAAAAGTGCAACATGCAGGCTCACTTCCGATTAAGAATGGAGACATCCGACCTCGGAGGAAGTCGGCAGACTGTGCCGGTTGGCCGCGGAGCGAAGTGTGCACCTGTTTCTCTCGATGAATGAATATTCTTTTCTTGCACGTCGTGAAATTGTGTCCGACAGGTCAAGGGCCTGTCCAAGGAAGAGCTTGAAGCCCGTCCAGATCTTGTGCTCGGTCTCGCCCAAAGGGTTGAAGAAATTCCTGATGGCACAGCCCTCTCTCGCCGACCAGCTAACGGTGGATGGGCTGGAGGTCCACGAAATGAAATTAGGATCGATGTTATGTCTCCGGGTAAGTTGCTCTATCTATATCTCCCATCCTGACTGGATGCATTTACCTTCCATGTCACTGGCTGAGCTTGTGGCGCGCAGCGTGTGTTCCTATCAAGTCTTCTTTTATTTTCGAATTTGAAATGAAATGTACTGAATATAGTACATTTAAAAAAACACGTGTCACAATTTCACAAACCCCTTGCGATGGACTCCTCTAGTCTGCCTATGTGCAAGATTTGCATTTCATACCTTTCGAAACTCTCAAAAGCCTTGCGTGCTTGCTAATGTCTCTTTTTACATGACAGATGACACTCTGCGCCCAGAACATTATGCCGAAACAGAAGAATCGAAGGGTTTCCGAAGCGAATACGAGTATCGCAGAGACAAGCAGGTGTTGATCTATGAACTAGAAACATGGAAATTGGATCCGAGTAACGTGCATAGGCTAAGTTGAAGATGTTTCGCCTTCAATGATAGAACTTCTGTTCAGTTTCTGTTTTCAACTTGCTTACTGTTCCACTGTACTGTAATGTTCCGACAGTTTCTGATGAGCCTTTTCTCTGGTGTCCATTTAGGATCAAGGTCTAGACCACATTGCTGATGGTCTTGCGACACTGAAAAACATGGCTGGTGATATCAACGAGGTGAGGATGTTATTCTCAATGTGCCGAGAAATCTTTTCACTTCTAATTCCGAGTTCAAGCGAGTTGCATTGTGATGGAGACTATCTAAACGCTTTTCTCCATCTGTGCTGAATATTGCTGTTTTGCAGGAGCTGGATAGACAGGTGCCTCTTATTGATGAGATTGACACCAAGGTATCGAGGTTAATCTCCCCCGGTGTCTGCTGGGCATGGTGTTCGTTGTTTCCTCTATTCAATGTTGACAGTCGAATCACAGCTACACATGTGCTTAATTATTAGCTGGTAGTCGTGGAAGTGCGTTGCAAACCTAACTTAGTTCTTGTTGGCTCAACCCATCAGGTCGACCAGGCTTCCTCTGACTTAAGAAGTACGAACAAGAGGTTGAAAGAAGTCGTAACTCAGGTAAGTGCAGAAACTCTCTTTGAGGGACAAGTGAGAGTAGTAATCCAGGCTTTATAGAAGCTGACAGTATATGAACACAATCTAGTCTTGCAGGCCTAGAAGCATGTGTGCAATGTAGAGTTTTTTGGTGTAAACGTCATACTTTCTCTCCCGCATGTTAAATTTCGTCTGTTGCTTCTTTGTGTGGGATGCAAATCTCGAAAGGTTTATGAACAGAGAATAAAATCATATCGGCGATTTGTTTTCTGAGCTCTGGTGCATTGGTGCATTGGTGATGCCACGGAGATCCTCTGCTATTGTAGGTGGTTGGTTGTTGACTTACGTTGGAAGTTCTCCTGTTCTCCTGTTCGATATTTGCAGATGCGTTCTAGTCGCAACTTCTGTATCGACATCATATTGCTCGCGATTTGCCTTGGAATAGCCGCCTATCTATACAAGTAAGCACTTGATCAAACTGCTCCACAACTGCAACGGCGACCTACACCTCAGTTTGTCTTCACCGTTTCTATTTTTGTCGGGTACTTAAGATTTACGTTCTTACAACCTGTATCTACTTGGCATTTGTGCAGATTATTGGCCTGAAGTGGTACCGTTGATGTGTGTAGGCAGACTGTAAGTAGAGGAAGTAGATTTTGAAGCTATTAACACATTGTTTGCGGAGTTATTCCCTCAATAACATATCGGAGGGGAACGTCTGCCCTTACTATCTGTAGAATCAGTAGTTTCGGCTATCATATCAGGTTAGATTAAGTGTTTAAACCGTAGTAGTCAGCACCTGTTCAACATGTGCATTATTTCCTTTTTGGAAGTGCCATGACAAGCAGTGGACTGCATGTCACCTGAACCTAGCTGAACAGTTTCGGACATTCTGTACTGAATGCGGGGTGTGCCAAGAGTCTTGCCAACGTTTCTAGATCCTTGGAACCATAATATACCTATTGTGTAAGTATAATGTAATTTTATGACCCATGTCATATGTACGTTCTCTCCGGGAGCCGGGAGCTCATGGGTGTGATCTGATCAAATATACTGCAGTGATCCTTCAACGTGTTGAGGGAAACGAAAATGTTGAAGTGGAATCTCTTTTCACTGAAGTGGGTTGTTGTTCATGTTCTGTTTACAACAACGTTGTGATGTGTTAGCTGTCAATGTGATTCAGTCATGATCGGATGTCATGGCTAAATGATTCTTCTCTTCGAGATCGTTTTAAGCACCGTGCACTCTGATTAAGCTCGTCGTGATGTTCTCCCGACGCCAACTATTTCCATAGAAACTTTCTCCTGTCAGAACGTACTCGAGCGTGTGTTCAGATACGTTACTAGCAGAAGTGAAGCTACATCAGGCGTGGAAAAGGATGCTGGTATGCAGGTCAAAGCTTCCTCTGCAGCAGGCACTCGGAAAATGTGCATTCCACATATTTTAAACTTGTCTGTAGAGGTCGTCGGAAAGGCGATGGCTGAGCTGATCAGATCTGATCTGTACCAAACTTTCGGAAGAAGACGTTTCACTTCCAAAAGCAAGTGTCGTACTGGAAGTTGGAACGTTCCCAAATCTGGCACTCATTTCAAATTAGCAAGTACTTCAGAGTGTGAATATACGGAGCATGGTTTACAGAAAAATGTGGGATCTGGTTCTGCATCGTTTGTATATGACAAGGCTGGAAGTTCTGCTTTTCTGATGGATCATCTCGAGCACGGCATTTGTATCCCACATTCTACTTTCAGGTTGCTGCGGTGGTAGTTAGGGAAATCGAAACCGAAAGGATGTTCCGGGGAGTTGAATCAATAGAAAGCGCTTGGTGTGGGTCCACTCCACAACGAAGACTCGATTCGAAAGCTAACATGCATGACGGCGAATGGACGTCAATAGCATAATCAGTGTGCAAGATTGAGCTGCTGCCGTCCGTCATGTCGGAGCCCAATAGAAAGTACCTTTCGATTGTTTGCCTGGCCTTCGAGTCTCCGACCGTAAGCGTGGACGAAACAAGTGACTTTGTGGCGTTCCGGGCCTAGTAACCCGTCCTCCTGAGGGGCTGCTGCCGTGTCCGTAGGAAGTCCCGGCCTCACGGCGGACTGACTGGGATCCTTAGCGTGATGACCAGTATAAATGACGACAGAACGCTGAATCCGAATCCGCTTGAAACAACAATTTCATGTCTCGAAAACTTTGTTGGGGCTTCGTTGGAGTCTTCGAAAAGTCGGAGATTAACAGTGTGAGAAAACGTTCACAAATTCAGAACCTGTTTTTCAGGTTCTGTCAGACTACATTAACCACCACAACACGAAAGTGCCAATTGAAAGAAGAAAGTCATAGAATACAAGGACGGGAAGACCTCATCGAGCCATACAAAGATGAGTGCTAATGGTACTCATGAGCTCGGTGCTAATAAGAATGTAGAATGTGAACTGTAACACCTAAATATCCAAACTATCTATAGAAAAATTGTCTGAAAATAATGTCTTACCAGTTAACGTGGTTGTTATCAATATTATAGAATTACTTATTGATGTTTATAAGAAAGAAACAAGTACAGTACATTCAAATGCGCGCGCTCATTCGGTGGAGTATCAACTAAACTCACATATGTTCACGTTTCGTGTCAGATTTAGACAATGGAGTAGATACTTGGGAAATTATCTCTACCGGGGAAAAAGTGGGCCAGAGTCGCTTAGCTCGAGGCTAGGATTGGAGGCACAACAAAACATGCCTATGCCCCCTTTCAAGATCAAAAGGCATGCTGTATTACAATACGTATATTTCACGTATCAAAAAATATACTTCTATGAAAATAAAGCACTCTTAGAAATAGGATCAATCAACACGAAAATGAAAACTTAAAACCCAGAACAGACTAGAGCAGAACTTCCAAGTGTCTACGTAAAGAATCAAAGAAAATCGAAAAACCAGAAAATCCATTCGTAAATTGAAAGTGCAATATTCCCACCAAGCGAAGGCCAAATTTTTAACCAGTTTTATTTCCTCACTTATCCCTCAGTCTATAACTCTAAAATATACTTCCATAACTCTAGAATATAAGTATAAATTGCTAGATCCTCGTCTGAGCAGAACTGAGTACTCTGTGTAGCTCCTCTTGCACAGCGCTAGAAGTCTCATGCCCAGCACGCACATGCAGTCGAGCTGTGACACTGCGACGGAAAATTCAGTTTTCTTCGAGTGAACCGGGATTGCGAATCGAGGAGACGGTCTTTTCAGGCTCGAGCGAGGGACAATTTTAAACAGTTTTGTTTCCTCACTTATACCACAATCTATAACTCTAAAATATATGTCTATAACTCTAGAATATACGTATAAATTATTTATACATACAGGCATGTCTCGTCTGGAAGATGTGAATTAGGCATGCCCTTTGAGGTTGTGCGTCCAACTCTACTCGAGGCCTTTGTGAGTACTGTCCCACTTTCTTGTCAAGGACACGATCCATGAGATGATTGGACATGCAACTTTACAATGGACGAAGGAACTGCAAGTTCACTGTACATGGCATACATTCGATGGCTCGGCCCATTACGTACACGGCGTTTGCTTGCCAAAAGCTCTCGTTGCTCGAAACGTGTGCACACGAGGAAGCGTGAGAGACTACATGGATATATCTGTTTGGGCATTGCACACGATGTCCCACCGATGTCACATCGATGATGCGAACACCTCTAGAAGTATTCCTGATGCCAAGATCTAAAATATCGTCCGAAGCCATTTCCCACGTGCACTGGACTTCGGACCAGTCGATCAGGTCAACCTTGAAATCTCCAAACTCGTTGACTGCAGTGTGCCAGAACAATACTGTGTTTTTAGCCTTGTGATCACGTACACAAATAACCTGCTAATTACCGTATGTTATAAAAAGGCCTGATTTCTACGTAGGACCCCACACAAACCATCCGTCATTGAATCCAAAGATGAATCCGAAAATGTGCCACCATGTTCATGAGTGCATGTAGTGGGAAGGATTTGGAAGTGAATCACTTTCTTTCTTGTACGTCTTTGGAATCACACTTATCCAAAAGTTCAGGAATGCTCGATCTTCTTCTGCTACCGCGGAACTTTTGTTGCCGCAATAGGTGAGAGGCAGAGCAATTTAATAGAGTATCTTCTCGCGTGTCTTGATCCAATTGGCAAATTCTTTATATCGCATGCTTACAATGTTGCAACAATTGAGGACAAAATTGTAGCAGCATGTGTCTGTTTGGTTATGCGATGAGTGAAGAAGGAGAAATTAGGGCCTTCTAAAAGGGAGTTATTTTCTTGAGCTAATGCTTAACATCCTTCGGGCTTGTACAATATATTTCTTTCGTGATACATGGAGTAAGAAAAGATGACAATTTGATCTTTTGATGATGTTGGAAGGAGTTCCACTCGCTTGGACAAGGACATCAAACTTGGAATGCAGTATCTTGAGATGTCGAGGAACTGTGTGGAGATATTTTGCACGTCTGGAGGGTGACTATAATAACTTGGTATGTTCGAAATTTCAACTTATGGGATAATAGCTCACATATTTTTATTTCTAAATTCATCTAGATGAATAGTCAAAGGTATGATGAGAAATTTTCATCAGCGAAATAGTTAAATGTGTAAATTAATTACATAAAAGGGTTGCGGGAGTCACATTCAAGTCTAATTCAGTGGACCTGAAACTATGTATGATTTCAACTCTCACATACTTCAAGTATTAATGAGATTTTATTCTCAAAATTTTATTATAATCTGATGAGCTTTTGTAAAAAATTTATATGTATGATTACTTGCTATTATTATGTGAAATTTAGGAAAAATGAACAAGGTTTAAATATTACTCCAGCTTATAAACTTTACCCTAACTTATCAGTTTTAGAAATACGAGTGATGAGTTACTTATGTATTATGAGTGAAAGTTCTAAAATAATTATGAAATAAAATTAAAGTCAAAGTTGTTCATAACATACAGTACATGAAATTTTCTTTGATTTCTTACATAGTTTAATTGATTTATCAATGAATTCATTTTATCTTTTGGCATAATAACACACAATAGAATTGAAATCATAATTACTTTGAAAATTACGGAAAATTTGAAAACAAGAAAATTAAGGAAAAATAAAGTACTTTGAAAATTATTAATTTTTCAAAGTACTTTGAATATATATATATATATATAGCATATCAACATATCAAGCATGTTAGAATGTAATTATGTACTTAAGAACTAATAAGCTATCTCAATCAATATTGAATTATATGATCTGAAGAAATAAAAAATTACTAATTAGATAATATCATAATTAACATCTTAATGCTAGCCTTGTAGAAATATATATTTGAAAAATTTTGATTTTAAATTATATATTGGTTGTTAATGTCAATATAGGAGTATGATAATGTTGTGTTGTATGAAAATGTATGTGATATGAATTTTTACATTCCTTTCATATATATAGTAAAGCTATTTTTGGATTTGCAATTTTAACATACTAATTAAACTTCGACTATATTTTGCATCATTCATTTAAATCTAGGAATTTAAGTCAGGTTAAAGATTACTATCATTAGATATTAATATCAAAGCTGAAAAATGGAAATATATTTACATTCTTTTTTTGCTTGAACACTTTGAATTTACAAGAAAGCTTGATGAAATAAAATACTTTGGAGGTGTATTGAACATACATCATATTAATGAAAAAAATCTGAAAAAATATAAATATACAACTAATGCAGAATCCTACAAATTTAGAAGAAATCAATTTCTATTGGAATAATAAAAATTTTATTTATGAATATTGAAGTAAATTTATACATTTTTGTCATTATAAAAAATTTATATTGTTGTTAAATAGTTGTATTACATTTTATTTGTATTATAGTTTGATGTGCTAACAGTTTTTGGTTTTGATGAAAAAACAATTCGCACAACAAGCTATGAGGGAAAGAATGATTTTGATGATGATACATACATCATTGAATGTAATAATTGATAATCATTTTCATCAATTTTTTAAAAGAATTGAATTCATCTTATATTTTTAATTTCATATAGAAATTTGATGAAGTATATTACATAATATCCAGATTTTCTTTTGAATGTATTGGTGAATTCAGGCTCTACTCACAATGATACACATATTTCAGATCTTTGTCTATGATGATTTTAGATATTTATAATATTTTGAGAGTTAACCACATTTTTGACAGATGTTCAAGTTGATGCATGCGATAGGTGTGATTTCTACAACTATAAATATCTGGTTTAGGTTCTTTGTGATCCCAGAATTGTAATTTGAGAACCTTTTGAATCTCCAATTTGTTATGATCCAGTACTCTAATTAGTAAAGGAGGTAGTTTTGATGCATTTGTTTAACATTTTATGAAATGTTTGGATGGTGATGAGTATTTTTAACATATAAATATAAGATATTTATAAAATGGGATATACATTTCAACTTATTACACAAGGCCTTTCATGAATCAAGGATTAAGAAGTGATAACCCATCAGTGACAAGAAATAGGTTGGTAATTGTTGCTTACTTCTCTCTTCATGGGCAGAAAGTAATTTCAAATACACCGATGTATTTTGTGAAGACTAATGTACGTCCCGCTGAATGTCATCACGAAACAATGTTTTAGGGACTTCGTCTCCGCCAAAGACACTGGTGTGACTAAGTGCTAACAACTAAGTGCGCGTCGTAGTTTATCGGAGACGCAAAATGACAAGTGATTTTTCCTCTCCTCTCTCGACTACTTCAGCTAAAGCCCCTAATGTGTATATTCCCATACATTGTGCTGGCCATGAGTTCTATGGCTACGGAATGCTACATATGAACATGTTTTAGTGGGGCTTTAATTCCTGGGGCAAAATGCTTCAACGGACACTGTGTCCCGGTGAGCTAGGAGTACAAAGTGAGCTGTAAAACAGGGAGATACTGAGTCTCCAACCACAACTTATTGTTTCACAACGCGTTATAAAAAGGAGTGAGCTGGAGGTACAGCGATTTGTGGAATGATGGTGGTTTGCCTCGACGTAATGATTGATTGCAACAAGGTTGAAAGGAAGGAAAGTACCTGACGGGGCCTGCCTGACCTTTCGAGGTGCGCAGTACACAAAAGACAAGCTCAAAGAATGTAGCGTGCCATTTTTGCTCGGCCAAAGGACAGGCTGCGGGAGTGGCTTGACTTCGCTAAGTTCCGTTGCTTTCATTATGTTCGTCAAAGCAGTTTTGCCATTTGTACGAAACGATGGTCGTCAACGTTTGGACTATTCCGAAAATCTTGAGCTGAGCTCAATGTGAACACCTACCTAGAGGACAATCTGCAACTTTGTACAGTGTAAGGATCCGAGTTACTGCAGTCGGACGAGACTCCCGTACAGTAGGAACTCCGCCAGTTACCACGGCAGATGATTGGCGACTGCGTGATGGGCGCTGGCAGGTTTGATTTTCGCCGGTTAAGCTCGACCTTGGGGCGCGCCTGAACTCTTCCAGGCCGTCGATGGCTTCCATCCACCGCTCAGATTAATGGCGAGAAAGAATCACCTCTGGGCTGCATCGTGTAAAGGGGCTGTCCTGTACTGTCCCTGACTACAGTAAAAGCTTGACCTCATGCGGGATTGTGCTGACTCGGACCAGCATTTGCTTTATTCTAGAAGATCACGAGAGAAAACACAAAGAGTCAGCAAGTCCCATGGCAAAGCTTACTTCTTCGACCTGGCTGGCGCGCGACGCGGAAAAGCTGCGTCGGCGCAGGACGCAGCGAATGAGCATCCGCGACCACAGGTGGAGGGCGTCGGCCGACGACGTGGAGGAAGAGAATGGTCGATTCACGTCCCGGGCACGGCCCACGTGTCACGATATGAACCGACTAGGAGAGTAGGAAAACTGTTGGCGAGATATCGTGTCAGAAATAAATTTACTTAACTGCCCCATTCAGCACAGTGAGCTTTTAAGAGTGGTTAATAATTACCACATGGGTTGCGTGATTCTTCAACCGAGTCAAGTCTACTCTGGTACCCTCATGCCCTGCCTGGACAGCGGCGGACGCACACACCGCGGCGTGGTAAGTGAAGTCGACTGCACTGCCCTGCCCTGCACTGGCTGGAGTCAGCGCGCTGCAGGTCAGTGCCGATCCATGCCTCGTTCGTCTCTGGCTGGCTGGCTGTCTGTCCGTCCGTCCGTCGGGCTGGTGAGGGACATTTACGCGGCCCCGCCTTCCCTTCAAGCCTTGAAGGCGGAGTCGTAGATGACCAGCATGGCAGAAACACGAGGGAAAAAGGGAGGAGAAGTAGGAGACGAGGAGGATGCAGCAGCAGCAGCTGGGCCGAGTGACAGAGAGGAGGAGGAGAGCGAGGGACAGAGAGGAGGAGGAGAGCGAGGGGCGAGGGGCGAGGGCGAGGGCGAGGGGAGGGGCGGGGAGGGGTAGGCAGGCGGTGAGGAGCCCAGGGGTCTGAAGGGACATTGAAAGAGAGAGGGGCACCCGAGGCAGAAGGAAGGAAGGAAGATCTGGGCGATAGAGAGAGAGAGAGAGAGAGAGATGGATGGATGGTGGCGGGGTGGGTTGGTGGCTAGCGAGGGAGATAGAGAGATAGATAGATAGATAGAGCGAGAGTCGGAGAGAAAGCTTGGTGGTGATAGAAAATGCTCAGCAACTTCGGTGGATTTGTTCGAGTTTCGTCTCGCATCGTGCCAGGAAGGCGTTTGGGTGCTGTGAGTGGAGTGGTGGATGCGACAGGAGTTGTTGGAGTTGGAGTTGGAGTTGGAGTTGGGAGGCGTGAGCGATTGGGAAATTGGCACCCGAGGAAGAGTTGGTGCTCGTCGGTGACAAGTGGAATATCGCGAGGGGTTCTGGAGAAGCACTTCGGAACGACAAGAACCGGTCGAGCGAAGACTCGGACGATGTCGATGACTGAGGGAGCTGCGGAGGTGACGGAGTCTGGATATGTTGCCTCGGATGCGGGAGGTGGAGAAGGAGTGAATGGAGTCGCAGGTGTTAGTTTGCAGCAGCCGGGAGATAGCTCTGTCGTTGTTGATCATGGATTTACGCGCCCCGAGATGCGTTCAGAACCTTTGGTCGGGACCGTAATGCACTACGAGCGCCACTTATTCTTGTGTTACAAGGACCCCGAAAGTTGGCCAGCACGAGTGGAGGCTGCTGATAATGACCGCCTACCCCGTTTCTTCGTCGCCGCCCTCCGTGCTCGCAAGAATGATATGCCGAAAAAGGTATGCCCGTCCCTTTTCATTCTTTCTGTCAGTCTTTTTTGTCAGATTTCCACCAGATTAGATCGCATACCAGAATGTACAAGTTTTCACCACGAGCGTACAGTCGTTCGAACTTTTCACTCGCTGACCGAGTGACGAAGAATTTAGTGAGGACTTGGAACAATTCTCCTTCTGCTCATTGCGAATAAAGAAAAGTACATATGTAAATCGAGCGAAATGATTCGCACTGGATGAGGAGCCTCTCTGTTGCTTCCTACTTTTTTCGCTTGCAGCAACTCGCCATCGACAGTCGGTCAAGGACGATGTCTGTGCTTGGCAGTGCTGTCGTGAATGAAGTTGTGTGAAACATGTAGGTGATCTGGCGTAGCGAACTCTGATGCGTCGAGTATCAGCTATTTGTCTTTTTTTCATCTAGCTGCTCGTTGACATTCAACTTGTAAACCCAGAGTAACAACCTCATTCAACGCTTACATCTCGTGTTCTGGATGGTGGATAGTTTAGATTCTATAAATAAACAGTAAAGTTCTTGGGATCTGTCGTCCTTGACAAGTGATTGAGGGTTCTCGATACCGCACTGCTCTTCGTACTCGGGCTAGACAGAAAACACATCTCTTTCAATTTTACACAATACCTTTCTCCCCTTACTCTCTGGCGGAGATTAAGTTCTCCGAATCTGAAGCAGGGGCCTTCAGATATAGAACTTGATGAGGACCAGACAATTTAGTTATACAGCTGTAATCCACATCATTGATTGACGGAAAATGATCCATAACTAAAGGCCTTGTTCTCTATGTAATTGCCTTCAAATAGCTTCCCGGTAACATCACAGTTTTGGCTCATTTGTTAAGGATCCGCTCTTTGTATGTGTGGTTCTCTTTTTGATTTTCTGTACACGCCACTCCATCTATCCGTCTTAGTTCTCCTGTGAAAATAATAATCTGTAGGCCCCTTCAATGTCGTGGGGTCAAAATATTGTGCTTTTCTTATTATGTCATCGCAGGTTGAATTCTTGTTTGCAGTTGTGTGTTGTTGGAGTTCGGCGTTATATCGAGCAGAATTTTTTCGAACTAAAACATGCTGAGGGTGAATGGCACATACTCATTCTTATTACATGGTTGATCTGGAACAGACTCGACTGACCATATGTGAGGGTCGTGATGGGACCGAGTCATCCAGTGGAGATGTACTCATCTTTCCGGAAAAGATACGTTACAGGTGAGTTTGTGAAGCGTGCCCCGCATTAAGCACAAATCCCAATCACCTAAGTTCGTCCTCTTTGGAATTCGCCATCAGATATTTGCTGGGGTACCATTCAAGAGAACCGATTCCGCCTGTTCTCAAGATTGTCCGTATGAAGCATTTGGAGGCCATTTACTTCAGATACTTGTCTCGCGCAATTTTTCATTCGTTCATTCTGACGATTCAGCTTTTATTTCCTCCGTCAATGTGGTGCGAGTACTTGCGTTTGTTGCACTCCTTTCTAGTCTCTTCGTTTTGACGATTGTATCATATATATGACGTTGGGAATTGAAGAGGAGTTTAGACGTTTGGAAAAGAGAGGGAGGGAACCGAGCGTTAAAAATGTGCGCTTAAAATAGAGATTTGTGTACTTGATGGGGAACTGGGCAAACAACGAATTGGATGATTTGTACTATCGGGAAATCATTGGTCCAGATCAACTCGAAGGAGAAAATTAGAGACGTTGGGCGTTAAAGAGGAGTTTAGACGTTTGGAAAAAAGAGGAAGGGAACCGAGCGTTAAAAATGTGCGCTTAAAATAGAGATTTGTGTACTATATATACATACCGCACAGAAATCATTGGGACCTCACTTCTCAATAAGTTTCTCTTAGCTTTTCAGAGCTAGTGTTAGATCAATTTACGGGAAGTATAAATTCTTGTGGCACTTATCCGCTCTTGCCTCCTGTTGCTTATTTTGTAAATAGCTTTTGTTGGAGTAAATGTCAAGGAAGCATGTCTAGGGCAGGCATTTTATGGTTCTGTCTAATAATTTCTCGTCTAAAGTAGATGCTTGTTTTGTGTACAGTTACATCCGTTCACATGTTTTCCTCTATGTTCTACATTGACAACTGTGGTTCACCACGTTACTATTTACAAACACGTAATAAAGTGCTTGTACTAACTTGAGTTTCATCGATCCTTATCAGGGGCTTGACGCATTTCGACGTGGATTCGTTCGTTGAGGATGTACTTGTCAAAGGGAAGGATTGGGTTGGCTCGTCTAAGCCAGAACCTCTACTCGGTAGCTACATATTTGTCTGTGCCCATGGAACCAGAGACGCGCGATGTGGTGTTTGCGGGCCTGCCCTTATCCAGAAACTTCACGAAGATATAGCTGCAAGGGGTCTTGAGAATCAAATATTCGTCCGACCTTGTTCCCACATAGGAGGGCACAAGTATGCAGGCAACGTTATTATATTCAGCACATCTGCCTCGGGTCAAGTGTCCGGGCACTGGTAAGACTGTGACGTAATATATGATCCATTGTTTATGCTTCAACGACAGTCGCGAGCGAGATGCCGATAGTCCTTGTATTCTTGTCAATTTCGCTTCTTGCTGCTTTCAAATTTGCTTCGAGCTGCCTTCCCTGATTGAACTCATTGTTGGAAGGGTCTCGTTTGGGTCAGTACAAAAAGCCCGTATTGAACGGTTGCGAGGCTGTTTTTGATCTGATTATGTGGTCAAAATGTTGTTTACATCTCCTTTTTTAATATCATAGAATTCATTTTCTTTTACAGGTATGGATACGTTGTCCCAGAAGACGTGCCTGCACTACTAGATCAACACATCGGCAAAGGCGAAATTATTGAGCGACTATGGAGGTACGTCCAGTCATGAGTTTCCTATAGCTTGGCCAAAATGCTTGGCTGAGTATGCATATCAAGAACAGGTGGATGCGGTTGCCGAACGTTTATTATCACCTCATCTTTTCTCAGACACTTCTAGCGTGCTGTAGAAAACCGTGAAGCCGGGTTTTTGTCCTCGAGAATGTCCGTGTAATTGTCAGTAGATTTGTGTGTAATTTGTTCGTGCGATCTTCTGTTCTTGAAAAGATTCTTCGTCTAACATTACAAATTCATGTTTTTCAGAGGACAAATGGGTCTTGCCGAGGACGATCAAAAGCTTGCTCATGAAGAAAGACTTCGATGTCAGCAAGAGGGTACAAGTGGATGCCCATGTGCCGAAAGTCAGGTTAGAGGGCCTGATGGCGAGGGAGAGTCTGCAACTCCCTGCTGCCAAACATTGAAAACTGAGGTAGCAGAGTCTGCAGAGGCGACAGAAAACGGATTTTCTGATCAAACAAACGGGGAGATTTTTGACGAGCCAGAAAGTTCGAGGAGCGATCTCACAGCAAGCCCAAAAGTAGTTCAGTCAGTTCCTGAGAGCGAACCTGTCAAAGGAAGGAACTCCAGCTTTCTCAGACTACCAAAATGGGTACAGACTTGGGAGCGAGAGGACACACATGCTGCGTTGGCTGTTCTAGGAGTGGCTGCGTTGGTTACAGTAGCGTTTCACATTCATAAACGCTCAGCCTCAAGTTGAAAGGCGCATGTCATGAGTCTTGCAGATGAGGACGTGCTGGGGCACGTTCATTCCAGTCCATCAACTGGCAAACCTAAATACGCTGTCAACTACTCTGAATTTGAGCTCTCTGCACTGTTCTCACTACTGGCTTCATTACATCAGATGTCTTCCCTTTCGCCAGTTACTTGCCTCTTGCGTCGTCCTAAGCTAAAATCACTGCCATGGGCAAGAAGCAGAGAACTGCGATCAAGAGTGTTCGATTGTTTTCCGCTTTGCTTGTGGTGGAGGTCCGAGGTCTTGACCTGATCCACTTTGTGCATTCACATCTACCACCTCCTATAGTTGTTTGTCGCAGCTGATGACGTTTCTCAGCTGTGAAAACTCTAATTAGGTCTATGCTGGTTTGTCAGCCACTAGGTCGGATATATCTTATTAGGATCGAGTGATCAACCAGAATCTAGGATGTGCGATAAAACTTAAAAGAGTCGAGAAATTGTTCCTATTGTGTACATGTGGCGTAGAAAGTAAAAATATCACCAATCGGGAAGATCATGTCTATACTAGATATTCTTCGTCGGACTCTTGGTTTAAGTCTGTCAGAACAATTGTAAAATGTATGATTCAAAGCGAGTCATTCGTGGCTTGCTGCAGGACCATATGGGGAATCAATGTGAATGTGCTGCAGATTCAGGCATTCTTATTCTCCTTCTTAGCTTCAATTTTTGATTATATAACAGATTACTAAAACTGGTTTTAGTTGCCTCGTTGGTGGTTGTTTGCTTGACCTAGGAACCCCCATATCCTGTATATTTGAGTTTGTAATGTGGTCTATGGAATGCGCGTCGCTGTGGATGAAGATTGGAAAGAGTTTTTACCATGTCCTAGTTTGTATCTTAAACATGATGTCCCCAGCTTGTAACAGTCAAAAGTTTGAACTTTTAATCTTTGTTGCAGAAATCCACTAGAAACTCTTCGAGACATATGAGGAGCATTGCCTCCTGACTCCGAAGCGACTCTCATGGAAAGCATATTTCACCCCCAAATTCCTTCCAGAATCAAGGTCATAGCTCTGTAATGGCATCGTTCACCTCTAAATGGATTATAACTCGAAGTATTTTGACTCTCAGTGCAATCAAGACCTCAAAGGTGTGAAGAGAACTAATGAATGACTACTTAAGCTGGTTTAGAATGGAAAATCTGAACTCGGGAATTACAGTCTACGCGATGTTTAGGGTGGTGAACGGAACTGAAACGCTAAGCATGAGATTCAGTAACTGGGTGAAGTTCAGCAGCTTCTCAGTATTGACAATCACAACTAGACCATCAGAATTGAGACTAAACCCAGTGAATAAGTTTAGGTGGAAAAGACACCAAATTCTTGTTTGTTTAGAATGGAAGGAGCTGATACAAATATTCCATGTACTTATATATACTCGTCTCGCTCCTATTCGTAGTGTTTATGACACTAGATATAATGTGCCCTCAACGATTCTCCAGAGTTGTTGCTCATGTTTTTTCCTTTAAGGGGAAGCGATGTTCTTCGCGTGTCGTGCAGTACGCAATGTGGCTTGATTAGAAGATTTAGAGCCGGAAAGACATAGACTGACGTGTACCGCGTGTACTTGGCTCTTTTTCTCAATTTCGCTGGTGGCCATCAACAAACGTGGTCACTCAACTCGTTCTGCGGTTGTACTTAGGTGCATGAAGAGCGAAAACGTGAAGCTGTGCAGAGCTGCGTGCGATAATTTATAAGGTTTCTAACGCTGGTTCCGTTCGGATATGCCAGGATTTGCACTGTGGTTGACTTTCCCTGAAGTCTTGAAAGGTAACTGCGTCATGTATCTAACTGTGACTGAGTCTGATAGTCGACTTGAACGTGATCAGGTGTGAAACGACACTACACGCCGCTGGCCCCGATTCCAACCTTCCCCAGTGTGCGTGGAGTGGAGTCTAGATGATTGGTGAATTAGGAACCTTGAAGGCCATTCTTCTCGTCACAATACAGCGATGGAAACAGAGTAAGTAGCAAAGCACATAATTTTTCCTACTTAGTCATAGTCGACTCAAACTAACCAAAAAAACATGCATTCAAGAAAGGTATATATGCCATATTTTCAAAGAACAACAGACTTGGTTCTTATTTGGTTTACATGGAACTATTGAAAGTATTTCCATAGATTCCTCATGAAATTCTTTGCTTCCATTTGAGTGATGGTGAAAGAAACATTCAGGTGTGAGATACTACATGAGATAGCTATGACATTTTATCAATTGCGAGATGCAATGCAATTGAATTTCTTATATCATTCTGATTTTGGGTTATATTATACCAATATATTTCATCTTGGTATAACAAGAAATATATAACATATGGATATCTATAGCAATTTAAAGTCAGAGAACTACGATTTATTTCAGTCCATGTATACTAAAAATTAATTTCAATGTTAAATTTAAAGAAAGTCAAAGCTGAAAACTCATTTAGCTCTTCACTTCAAGCTTTCGTGATCATCGTGATTTGGAGAAATTTCTGATATCTAAAAAGCATTATAGTGAAAAAGTGATGATCTCATTTTCTTGATGATTTGCATTGATTCTACTTTAGTTATGAATAAAAATAGCAGGTATTTATCAACTTGAGGCAAAATACGTTGAATTAATATGAAGGTTAAGTTCAATATGCATCTTATGTTTGATATTAAATGATACATGCCAAATTATTAGTTTGCTATGTAAGTATTGATGATATGTAAATGGTAAGTTACGATTTGGAGATGATTGTAATAGTTGGAAATCTATATTGCTAAAAGATGTGTAGTTTATTGTACTGAAAATTTGTAAAAACAACAAAAGACTCATTTTGGTTGGACATGCTAGTCGCTTAGCTTAAATTAACGTATGAAATATATTTTGATAGTTATATTGTTTTACATTTGGTTGTGAAAAGTTGATGAATAGTCGAAGGAAGCACATTGATATTAGAACTGATTAATTCTATAAATTATGTGCAATAAAATTACTGAACTAATAAGAACTGAAAAGAATCTCTATATTAATTTTTTTCACTTAAGTGATTTCAGAAGAGACTTTTTAGAACATCATGCTACATTGCAGTTTTTGCATATGATTATAAGTAGAATGGAATAGCAATTCTTATATATATTGATAATAATTTATTATCAAAAAATATTTTCGTTCATTTTAACTCTAATTTTGAGAAGAAACTATGTTCTGTTTCTTTCTATAACATCATGTAGTTAATAGAGGTTACATCTCCAAAACATGAATCAAGATGTAATCTTTTAGTATTAAATCAGGCCTGGGTAAACATTTATTTAGTTAATAGTTGCTTGGTCATCCTCACTGAACATATGTTGCACTTATGAAAAATAACAAGTTTAAAACCAAGACATATCATATGTACTAATTGACTTCCTATATCTTCATTATAGTCTTAATGCAGATATTCATAACATGAGGAGAGAGTTTACAACGTGAAGGAGGAAGAATGCTGATGCCATAGAAAAACAAACGACTATGGGTTAACAACATTTTCCGTTGCAGAGATCAGAGAACAAGAAGTGGCCGAAGAAATTAAAATCTGATTAGTTTGTTTGAATTTTTAATGAGAGAGAGACACATGTAGATATGTGACTTAAGTCAATGTGAAGCAGCCCTAGGGATGCTCACGGCTCGGCTACGGCTAGCCGGCTAATATTTTTTGTTAGCCGGCTAGCTGTCGGATAAATATTGCCACCGCTATCCGAGGCAGAAAACGAACCGAAAACTCATAGCCGAGTCTGCGTTTTCGACCTATTATTTCGTCCTGTTCGGCCGAAATTATCCAATAAACATTTATTTCGGACGATTGCGTTTTAGACCAATAGCCGATTAGCCACGGCTTGCCGGCTAAACTTGAGGCAGTAGCCGGCTAGCCGAAAGTTAGCCGGCTTCGTGACCATGCCTAGCAGCCCACAATTTGAAAGCATTTTTGTCAAAGGAGAATAACTTTGATATTAAAATATAGAAGCTGACGGAGAAGTAAACGTGCAACATAAAGACAGAAGAAGGAGACATGTGATGATTCTCGATATACTTGTGAAAAAGCATCAGTTCAGATGGTATCCATGTCGTGGCGACCACGAGAGTTACAACTGAGAACCCTCAGTCCTTGATTAAAAATGGATTTACGATGGATAGTTACTAGTTTGTGTAAAATAATGATTGTCTGCAGTTAAGCGTTCTCGATTTTGAAGCAGATTTCTGAACGAACAGAACCCGTGTAAATAGGTGAAAAGTTCTAACTTAGTTGTAGTTAAATGTGTCGGCCTTGAGCTTTTATTTGGTAAGATGTACTAAATTGATTACATATGAAATTCCCACTTTTCACTTTGTTACACCTAGACGGAATTTACAAACGTAGCAACGTTTTTGTATCGAGATAAGCCAATATAAGATAATGATGGCAAAACGATGGTGAGTCTCACATGCTATCTCTCTTAGTTTTTAAGTTGCCTCGATAAGTAATGACAAGTTACCCGTTTTTTAATTTAGAGTACTCTTCACTTCTACAAGTCTGGCCAACAGTCTCGACGTTGACATAAATTCCGCTCCCAATGAAAGACGAAGTTACTAAATGAATTATTTAATCTTGGCAGAAGATAATATTACCATGATGCGCACCCCATCCCATAGGAAGTAGCACATAACAACATTTTATTTAGGAAACTGGATGAATTAATGTGGAGACACTTACTCCTTTATGTGGGTTGTCTGAAAAGTTCAGAAAAATATTGTGCTCCAAGTTGAACTTTTCAAGGGTTTGTTTCAATTTCATGCATAGAAATCATTTTGTGCGATTTTAGAATTTTACACCATTCAAATTGTCCTCAGGCATGACAGACATTGGTGATTCTAATTATGGCGATCAATAAATTTACGCCCATCCTTCTGTTTCGACTGTGCGTACCTTGCACGAGTAGATGACTCGACACGTTGAGATAATTAGCTGTTTTCTAGGCTTCTAATGATCACATGTACACGGAACCATCAAATGGGCTCGTAGAGAAGCACCACACGCAATCTGATTGCATTGAGGTTTCTGAATATATGTACTAGTACATGGAACTAAACTCCACGACCAGAAGATCTTTGCTCGAGCACTCTCGATCTTCGTTTTGCAAGGCAAAGAGAAATGATTTCTGATGGCTCAAGCATCCTGAGGAGACTTCTGCATCCAGGGTATGTGATGACTTATTCAAATTCAACAATCGAACACAGGCACCAGACGGCAGGCTTTGAAATCTTCTGCTCCACCTCAAAATCGAATGTGCTGGAAGTCTCCTGGCTATATGTTCGTCGGTGATGAATGAGTCCTCGCTGAAGATCTGATCATCGTCATCATCTGGGTACCACACAGAATTCTCGTCATGGAGAAGGAAAGCCCACAGCAATCTCTCTGCAGCACATGAGCAGAAGGCTACCTGTATCTTCCCGTACATCCCTTGACTAGAAGTGCAGGTCGCTGAATCTGCACTTTCATCTGAGAAGAGGTTGTCTGTGTGCGCCACATGACAAGAAGGTCCCCAAAGTGATGCATCTCGGACTGACTACTTTGTTGATGTCGGGTTGAGTGAGCGCAGATATTACTCTTTAGACTCAGTCCGTGCGAATAAATTCGGCCCCCAAGGCTTTATCGATGCGTTACTTTACAGATGTGCCATGGTTGGTGTGGG